AAGAAACATTTTCAGTCAAAAGATTTTTTTTTTTGCTTTAACCCCTGACTACTACAACAATTATTACAACTTTTGTTTAAAAGAATAATCACACAATACACTTTTTCTTCCATGTTTTAATTTTAATGGTAAACCCATTAAATAAAGAGTTTGCCAAAAAATGAAGAGTTTAACTCTTTAAAATAAAGAGTTTACTGTGGGAGTACTACACTCAACCAACACCAGGGAAGGCAGTTTTTGTCAGAGCCCTTGTTATTCTTAATTTTGACATTAATTTTAATTTTTACACCAGACATATATATCGTTTCAAAATATCGGTTATCGGTCTACTTGATCTGTAATAATCGGTATCGGCATCGTCCTTGAAAAACACATATCGGTCGACCCCTAGTTACTACTACACCTGTGTGTGACTGTAAAAGTATAAGAGTTTTGTTACCGTTCTGTGCTCATCTGCTATTTCCACCACTTAATCAAGCCACTCTTCTTTTAAACACGATGACGTTTTATTTCACATGTCATTACGTTTGCGTTGGCTCTTGTGTTGAGCTATTTCGTTCACAACCATTCAAGTATTCCATTTCTACAGCGACTGATTTGTCGCACATCATTCTCTTTCTATGAAACCTGTAAACTGCATTCACCGGTTCTTACTCTACATCAGTGGTTCTCAACCCGCGGGCCGCATGCGGCCCGTCACAAATTCAAATGCGGCCCACACCATGCTGAACACAATTAAAAAAATAACTTTCAGTTTTACAATTCATTTTAGTTTTTACATTAATTAAAAAATGTACTAAAATATTAGCTATAATGTTTTTATGTAAATTAATTGTTTTTCATATAGGCTGCTGTATAATTTTCAGACATGAGCAGACCTGTAGCCTACTCACGTAATTAACGTTACGCATTTAACGAACACTTACAAGCGCGCACTTTGGCAGAATTCAGTTCAAATAGTCATCAGCAGCCATTAGTTCGGTAAAATTGAGCATCAGAATGGACAAATTTGTTCGATTAAATCGATTAAATATCATGATGATTAGATTGCATGTTTAGGCTATAATATTATAAATCTGGTTGGGTTGAATTGGTGACATAATATGTAAATGATATGCGTGCGGCCCGTGAGACTTGCATTTGGACCATAGTGCGACCCAGTGGAAAAAAAGGTTGAGAACCACTGCTCTACAGTGACACCAACTCTATAGCGGTTTGCCTGAGCATTGCAATTATTTCGCATTTACTAGAATTCAAATGGCTTTCCCAACTTAGTTTTTTTTTGCGTATGTCCTGTGCGCTAGGGGTTGCACCGACTAATCGACTAGTCCACTTCAATGCTCTGCCATATGACGCTTTAAGCTTGACGTCGACTAGTCGCTGGTCCTATAGAGGGTGCAACAGGATTAGAAATCTTTGAAGGACTTACACATTTACGCTCCGTTTCCAAACAGTTCAAATGACAACTAAATGCATACTCTGAAAGCGCTCCACAAGACGTGTGATTATATTACTGGATGCTCGAACTTGAACGGGAGAATGCATTTTTTAAACAGCTTATTGTACAGGTAAGTTAATCGCCGTTCTAATCTAATGCGCTGCTGCACTGTAACGCACACACATAGGCTACACGCGCACCGAGTCATTCAGCACGGAAATGTATTGTCAACACTGTTCTGTGATTTCTCAATAAAATAGCTTAGAAACTGAAAAGTTCAAGCATATATTTCTTAATAACTAAATTCCACAGCTTCACTACTAGTAGAGAGACGCTGCCAGGTAGAATTAAATCACACACGCAATCGCTCTCACTAATGCATTCATATTAATGTAATCTTTACTGTGCTACTTTATCTGTATCTGATTTAGAATGAGCAGAAATCTGTGAGAAATATAACGATCCAAAGACAAAAGAACTGATAAAAAAGCTGTTATAGGAGCAACAGCCATGTGGGCAGTGCTGTGTCATATGCCATAGCTGTGCACAAGCTGTTTATCACAGCTCCAGACTTATTTGTTCATTAATGACGTCATCAGCGACTAGTCGACTTCGACTCTACTTTCATCACATAAAAGTCGACTTCAAAAAATCAGAAGTCGTTCAACCCCTACTGTGCGCAGCATATTATTCTTCTGCGCGGTCGTGACGTAAGAATTGCGCGGCCCCACATGCGCGCGCAGCTTAGAGGGTACATTGCTTCCAGGGCATTGGGAACTTTGTAAAGTCTAGCCTTTTCCTTATATTTCTCTCTTTTCTTTTCTTAGGGGTCCACGGTCTGGTGGAAGACCCTCCCAGCCTCCTTCTCAGTCATGGTTGCAGGATCCAGACAGGCCATCAATTGTTAGTGCCACTGAACTTAAAGAGCTAGACAATCTAGACACTGATGCTGATGAGGGTTGGGCAGGTGAGAATGACTTTTTTTATATATACGTCAAAATATATATATCGTTAAATTAAAATCGTGAATCGAATCGTGAGTTGAGTGAATCGTTACATCCGTGGTTCATGTTTTTTTTTAATAGAAATAAACTGAAATGTTTGCTCCATATAGCAGGAGCAGCAGGAGTCAGATTTAACTATGTGAATAGAGTAAGGAGTAGGGCTGTCAAAATGGCTGAAAAACTAAATTTGAATTTTGTGCTTAAATATGATCAATATTTGAATTTAAAAGGCATAATTTCAGTTAGGTGGGAAAAAAGATTTTGGCTTGTCTCCCGAGGCCACAAAACGATTCACTCAACTCACGATTCGATTCACGATTTTAATTTCACGATTCGATTCACAAATTTTATTTTTTTTTTTACAAAATTTGATTTAAGACTAATTATAAGTTAAATGTGTCCTTTTATTATTGCTTGGACAAAATACTGCACATTTCTTTGTCAAATTGAAATATAACACTATAATAATATACTAATATAGCACTTGCATATTATTGCTATTTTGTTGGTTTTGATTGCTTCTATTGTCCTCATTTGTAAGTCGCTTTGGATAAAAGCGTCTGCTAAATGACAATGTGAATAGAGTAAGGAGTAGGGCTGTCAAAATGGCTGAAAAACTAAATTTGAATTTTGTGCTTAAATATGATCAATATTTGAATTTAAAAGGCATAATTTCAGTTAGGTGGGAAAAAAGATTTTGGCTTGTCTCCCGAGGCCACAAGAGTGCGCATCGAGCAAAATATTACTAATGCACGTTTATTCAAATAAAAAATAAAATAACATGACTGTGGAAAAAGTGCATAATGTTTAAAATAATGTTTAGAAACGAGTAAAATTAAGTTGCTTAAAAAA